AAGACCGAGAGAATAAAAGAAGTGATCCAGTTACAGTTCAATGAATTTCCATCTACCCATGTGTCAGATCACGTGATTGCCCGTTGCTTGAAGACTTGAAGAAATCTGGCTATCCCATAACATCCTCACATGCCAATCACTGATGAGCTCTTTTCCCTCTACATTTACTGATCAGTAGGTTTTTATTATTAGCTAGCTCTCTGTGTAGGCTTTAGCTTCCTTTTCACTTACATGCCGCGGTACCACAGGTGGATGAATATGGAATAGTATACCCAGTGCGGGGCATAAGCTTTTCGTGATATAGACGTTCCGATCAACTCGTGCATACTTCAACTATTTCGTAGATATTCGTTCGTTAAGCCTTATGCCGTTAGTGTATGGGCCAAAATCCGACCGAGGTAATTCAGCGCAAGAGGAGGTGATTATCGTGAGATTTGTAACTATCATGGGCAGTTTGGCCAAGGTCGATCAGTGGTCGACAAAACAGGCCGCTAAGCGGCTTGTTAGGGCCGAGGTCGAGCAGCATGGACATAAGTAACGACTAGTATGACTTTGGAACTTTCAAAAGGGAATATTCTATTGAATATTCCTTCTGTTGTACCTTTTAGGGTTCTTTGGAAATATCTCATATAAATAGTAGAAGAGATAAGACAAAAGGCATGTAATATGATATATGATAAGAACTCTCTTGAAAAGTTGACTCTCTAGAAAAATCCAAACATTGTCTCTCCAAAGAGATTCGATTTGCTCTTTATTTCACATTTCTCGCATCAGATTCGAAAAAGCATCTTATATTCTCATATTCATTTGTCTTACATCATTGTCAGAGAGAGGAATCATCCACCTCATTCAATATTGGGTGAATCATTCCCTCTATTTACATTTAGTGCCATTTATTATATTTATTGCTTATCATTATTCTCATCTCAATCATTACCGTAACGTTTAATACGTATTGCATTAAACCCGTTTGAACGTAGTCCCTCATCACCCACTTAAACCCATTTTGGATCTAAAGTTATTATCTTTAACTAGGATTAGCCCCTAATTTTTTTATTTAATTAATTTAACAAAAAATTTATACTTTTTGGTCAAACAGTTAGGATTTTCAATATTAGTCTTAATTAAGTTAAAAATGTTTACTCTTAAACGGAGTACTATGATTAGGGTAATATTTTTGTCATTCAAAAAGGATGATATTTTTTGAATTTTTAAGAGCCAAGTTTTTTAAATTTGATTGCGAATTCAGATATAGAATCTTGAAGGTTTTAAATAATTTTACATATTTAAAATTACATAAAAAGTACTATAAGTCATAATAATTAAAAATTTAAAATATTAAAAACATATGAAAAAATTACGGACAAAGAATAACTAGTTTGACTCTCGAAATTCAAAATCATCTTTTTGGGATGGAGGGAGCTATATAAATGAAAACATATTATCCCAAACTAAAGAGACTATTTTTAGGAAATATCTAAATATATATGATAATCATAAAAGGTTTTATACTATATTATTATATAGAGTTAGAAATTAGTACTTTAAGTGTTATCTATCGGTTTTACATTTTTAATAAAGCTTTGTGCAATACTATTCTTGAACTTATTTATGAATTCCGCTTCCACATCACCTGATAGCAATTAATCCTTAAATTTCAAAATTTCTTGTTCTTTTTAGCGCTTCTCCTCCAGCTCCTTCTTCTGTCGTACAAGTGCTCACCATAAAACGTACCCGCTTGGGGTCCGAAATCTCTTTTAGCTCGAAATACTGGTCCATCACGATTAACTAGTCTAAGACCACGTCACGGAGGGGTCTCGGCTTCATGGTCTGTCTTTCTCTTCCTTATTTTCCTATCGAGTTCTCTTTTCAAAACATGACACTTGCCATGGGAAAAAGATAAAAGAAACAAATGTCAAGTCGCACCAACGTGCTCCAACATGGCTAAAATTGAGAGACTCACGTAAACAAATAAAGTGGAATCTTGGAAAACAAGACATTAAAAGAAAAAAAACAACAGAGAAAACAGATTAAATAAAAATGATTAGGCATTATATTTCCCATAGACCATGTTACGAAAGGAATATTTGTAGGGAACCAAGCCTATATTTTTTGGTTTATCATGATTGAAGAGAATGCAATAAGTGAAAAATGTATTATTTCTCATAATTGCAGGTTTTTTCCTGTCTTAATTATTGAACCTCTTAGCTACTAATTTGTCAAATACGGAATATTAGTATTTTGCATGGAAATGATTAAGAGATTTTCATTTGCTACCACATGGTTTAGCAAATAACGTACACTGTTGTGAACTATAGATTTGCTTTATTCAAATCAAAGTCATTTTATCTTTTAAATAGGAATAAATGCTAATGTCGTAAATTAATGATTAAAATATCCGTGGCAGGACAAATTATTATCTGTGGGAGCAATGTGCATATATTTATGAGAAATAATTGAACTGTCGTCGTCTAGTTTTTTTTCATGTGCTGTAGACTTATTAAAGTGAGTTGGCCTTGTTTATACTAGTAGCTAGTATTATGAGCAAGACGACCTAATATGCTAGATTCATTTTCTTCACCTATTATTTAGTGAGAATTAAAATAATGCACTCCAATCATGAGACAAACATTGTACTGGCCGTATTACGTGGAAAAACCTAATGCATATTTGCATAATGTGGTCTAAATTTTAAGTTATATAGTATATTAATGATATAATTATTTTTAGTGTAATTTAATTTATATTAACTACTAATTAGTTATCATTTTTGTTAGGTTCTCAATTTATTATCTATCATTAAAATTTACTTGTAATAATCTTCTGTGTAATTAACTTGATCGTGTAAATATACCGAATACAATCAATGCATAGAATTTTAACATCCTTAGTTAGTGGCGGAGCGATGATTTTTGTTAAAGGGAGTCAAAATATAAAGAAATAAACTTGCTAAAAAGTCAAAGGTGTCATTATATAGTATATATACATATTTTTTTAAAAACTACCGAGCTAAAAAATGTAATTTTCTGACGAAGGGATGTCAGTTGACACCCCTTAGGTGCATGTGACTCCGCCATTATGGAGTTTATTTCCTCCATGGAAAGATTTAGGCCAAACCCATAGACGGCTCCTTAAGCTTATTCGATTTTTTTATTTTAACACTTTATCTCAGGGTCTTTCCTATCAAACACTTGATGTTAGTAAAAAATGTACCAACATCAAGTGTTCTATACGAAAGACCCTGAGGTAAGGTGTCAAAATGGAATCAAATAAGCTTAGGGGGCGTCTATATATGAGTCTTGACAAAGATTTTAATGTTATAACTTATTTGATGTGCAGGATACAAAAATTCACCGGCAGAATTTATACCAAAAAATTTATAATCTTTCTTACAGAGGTATCATCTGTCTCTATATCGAGACATGAATTCCACCAAGTTTAGAGTTTGGTTTAAAAAATTTAATAAATTATTTAACATACTAATTCATCTAGACCATACATAATGTGTATTTTTAAGCTTGAATATATTGTGATCATTATGTTACACTTACAATGATCAAAGTTGCATTATTGGGAAGCAACAATGCTATTTAAATTTTTTTCTCATAAATTCAACTTTGATTGTTTTTTGGAATCCGTCGTTTGTGGGATTTGCTTCGGCCCCTCTAAATACTCGATTCTATATGTACTACTTATTATGGTAAAATGATTAATCTAGTTTGTAGGCAATTGCATGTCTCTCTTTTATAAGTACCATTATCGTACAAGTGAACAGTGATTAAACTTATTTGAGTATTTGATTTGATATGGGGAAAGTTGATTTTATTTTATATTGTTAAAAAATAGAACAAAGTTTCCTGCAGTGGTGAAGAATATACAGTAACTGTGATGAATTAATATATACTGATTTGATAGCACAATCTTTGTTACATTGAAAAGAAGATTCAGTAGGTACATCATAACAATAATTGGATTGGGACAAGTTCAAGTTTTAATAAATTTCTGATCAAAATTGTTCAATTGGTAATTCTGGGTAAAACTCAATTAAAAAAAAAAAAAAAACTCCATAATGCTCACAGTCACAGTTAGAATTCCAAGTGCACAGTCCAACTTAATATGAATTCAATTATTGATTGTTAAACAATTGAAATAAAATATACATATCTAAAGTGATTTATATTTTTTACAAATAAAGATATTTTTAAGTAGTAACACAAATTAATTTAAAAATTGATGAGCACTCCGCGGAAGATAAGAGTACTTTATAGGCTAATTTTTATGAAAAAAACAAGATTTATTGGTGAGCGGATTTTATAAATGAGCTTGGTTTTTGGAGGGAAGCTGTTTCCCATAGTCATTCTGATCAAGAAATTGGATCTGATCGACATTTTTAGAACCACCATTTATATTTTGATTTTATTTAGAAAATTTTGGTACAATAGCTTCACCGTCAAAATTTTAAACTCGCTGTCAGAATTTTGACACATACTACCAGAATTTTTCCCATCTGAAAATTCTAACGATTGCCATGTTTCGTGACAAATCCTGGTGATAACCATATGAAAATTCTGGCGATCGTCATTTTTTTGTAAATCTCGGTAATCATTATATGAAAATTTCTTGCGATTACCATATTTTGTGATAAATCCTAGTTATCACAATATAAAAAAATTATGGTGATTGCTATATTTTTGTAGTAAATCTTGATGATCAGATATCGAAATTCTGGCGATTACTAGGGGCGCTTGCCAAAATTCTGATAAAGTTATTTTTCTAAAACTTTTGTAACAAGGGTCCAAAAATTAATAGTGACACCGAAATGTCCTATTTGTACCATTCCCCATTCCTATTTCAGAATGCTGGAAAAAACCGTAAAAACCATCTCGACAGAAGAAAATTTAATTAAAAAAATGTAATCGATTTTGTTTAAATTAAAATAAAATCCTCTGTAACCAGCTGAGCCTTCCCGCAGATAATAAATCACTCCCTAACTTATCGCACTACTCCTTCCCACGTTCTGTCTGTAACATATAAAACCAGCTCCATTGACTCCCCATTCACACTTCCCTTGCCTTTTTCCCTCTCTTTCCACCACCACCACTATAACCGTCGCCGGCGTCTCAACTTCCGTTCCGGCGTTACTGTACCTCACCGGAAACGACATATTCTCCAGTTTGCCGCCAATGGCGCTGCAGAGACAACCTAGTGATCTCAAAAATAGAGTCAATACTTGCCTCAATAGATTATCCGACCGTGATACTCTCACTGTTGCGACGAATGAGCTTGAGTTAATAGCTAGAAATCTTAACAGCGAAGGTTTTGGTGCATTTTTAACTTGTATTTCGAGTACGGACTCTTCCGATAAATCTCCGGTGCGCCGGCAATGTGTTCGGCTTATCGGCGTACTCTCGGCTTCTCACGGCGACGCGCTTTCACCGCATCTCGCGAAAATGCTTTCCTCCGTCCTCCGGCGACTTCGTGACCCTGACTCTGCAGTTCGCTCGGCCTGTGTAGAAGCTGTTTCGTCAATTGCGTCGGAAATTACTCAACCGCCGTTTTCGTCTATTTTGAAGCCGTTAATAGACGCTATTATGCACGAACAGGATATTAACTCGCAGATCGGAGCTTCATTGTGTCTCGCAGCGGCGATTGAAGCGTCGCCTGATCCTGAGCCGGCGGAGCTGAAGAAACTGCTGCCGAAGTTGTTGAAATTGGTTAAGAATGATAGCTTTAAAGCGAAACCGGCGTTGTTGTCGCTCATTGCTAGTGTTGCGAGTGTTGGTGGTGCTTCGAGTAAAAATGTGTTGAATAGCTTAGTTCCTATTACGGTTGAGTTTTTAAGTAGTGATGATTGGAATGTGCGGAAAGCCGCTGCGGAGACATTAGGAAGACTAGCGGTGGCTGAAAGAGAGCTGTTGTCAGAGTTGAAGGCCTTCTGCATCACGTCATTGGATAAAAAAAGATTCGATAAGGTACAAATTACACTACACTTGTTGTTCCAACTTCGAAAATTTGATCGTAAATTCAATTTTTAAGTTTTTAAAATAAAATTTACCAATTTGGAAAAGTGCTTACATAAAAGCAAAAATAATTAACACTTCAAAATATTTAAAAATATATAAAAAAAAAAGTAAAACTTATTTTGACTCTCAAATCCGAATAACGCAACATAAATTGGAACAAACAGATTTGGAATTAAAAAGAAAAATTGGCTTATTGGATGCTGCTTTAAATCTACAGGTGAAGGTTGTGAGAGAGACGATGAATCGGGCGTTAGAATGGTGGAAGGAAGTTCCAGGTACTTCATCAGATGATGTTTTGCCTCAATCACTATCCAAGTTTCCCCCGAAAGGTAACATTCAATAAATGCTAACCTTTTCTGTGGAAAATTAAAGGTTCCGGTATTAAAGAAAATTCCTATGTGGGAAGCTAGCTTAGATGCTTGAATTCCCCTAGTTTTCATGTGGTATTATATTTTAATACTTAGTATTTCTTTCCTTCTAAGCAATCAGAGAGATGCGAGGATTCAAAATGGCTAGTGATGTTAAAAAAGAGAGCAGTTAAAAATACTCAAACAGGATCCAGTTTCGAGTTTGTTACAGAGCTAAGTTTATATTGTATGGTGAACTCGCTAGTACCTTTGACCAAACTAAGTTAATCTCAACTCAAAAAAAAAAAAAAAAAAANTGTCTAACATCTATGTGCTTAGTCCTTTTATGATGAACAGGGTTCTTTGTCATACTTATAGCACTAGTGTTATCACAGAAGATAGGAATACAACCAACTTCAATACCAAAATCTATCAGCTGCTGTTTGATCCACAGCAATTGAGCACAACAAGAGGTAGCAGCAATGATGAATTAAATGTCATTTTAATATTCTAAAAACATTTTCCATTTTTATAAATTATATGTGATGGCACTATAGCTACTTGGACGCATGAAAATATTGAATAAAAGATTTAAAAATTTAGAATGTATATTTAATGTAATGTGCAAGATGCGTAGTAATAATTACCCACTGTTAAGTACTAAAAATTTAGGTTTAAATTAAAAAAAAGAAAAGAAAAAGAGATAGAAATACATGTCGTATATGGTGCAAACACTAGTTTCCTTGTATGGCGTCGGAGTAAAGTTGAATCTGATTTCCTAACACTATGGAAATATTGGCTTAAAAGGAAGCTTTTATTGAAGATTGTCGGTTGGTAGGATAAGAGTTTTTTTATTGGGTAAGAGTTACATATAGGCCATTATGGTTGCAAATTGGGAAGATGGTTAACGAGGTTTTTCACAATATGACTAGCCCTGCACAATTTAATTCTTGTAAACTCCTTTTCTTCTTAAAAGTTCTTTTCTAGTTTATATTTTCCGACAAAACGCTTGTTATTACTAATTGATAATCACATGCCATACACATGCTCAGAAACACATCTTGTCAGATGAGTCCAGGTCCTGGGAATTTTGGGCTTTAACCATTTGTTCCCAGTTTCCTTGTCTGAAGAATGCAGTCCTTTTCGTAACTAAACTATTTCATTGCATCATAGTAACTTTGTTCCAACCTTTGGTTATAGCGAGCTTTCAGCCCTTGTCAAATGTTGCATCTTCGTGTTATCCTAAGCTATTTTTATGTCTACTGTTACGTAATTGTATGACATGTTTCTACAAAAGATTGATGTGGATTCTTCCGCTATATATTTCGATCTTTAACCACTAATTGTAAATGCAATTATTTAATCACCTACATTCTGCTACCTAAAATTATCCTACGAGATGCCAAATTTAAAGAATATAGTATGAATTTGTCTCCAGATTGTGGTAGTGGTGCCTGTTCTCCAACTCCTTCCAAAAGTTCGAGTGATACGGCCAGAGAGACCCCTAATCCGAAGAAAGCAACCCGCCTAAGCAAGTCACCTGCATCCAGTAGTTCTTCCTCTATCACCTCCCAGAAGAACAATTCTATTAGGTTCCGCCGCACAAAATCAAATGTCATAAGCTCCTGTAAGATGGATTTAAGAAAATCCCCTGATGCAAAATTGAAACGGACTGTTTCACTGGCTTCTTCATTGGAGGTGGATAATGAAGATGAACAGAAGAATCAAAATCCTAGAGTTCAAGATTCAGCAGATACAGTTAGTTGTAGCAGTTCAAACTCAGAAGTAAAGTCAACTCTATTTAACAAACCACCTGATGAAAAGTTCCATAGGTATGGTAATTCACGGTCAAGTTCTCGGGTTGTTCCACTGTTTGAGGATTACACTTATAATATGGATGTACCTGATGGAAACATCAATGAAGATGCACCCTTGAGTCATAAAGAGTATGAGAATTTCTGTTCTATCAGCAAACAGCTTGTTCAGATTGAAAATCAACAATCCAGTTTGTTGAACCTCCTCCAGGTACATTTCTTCTCCCTTCCACTCAGCACCCTTCAAACATTGTATTTAACTTTTGGTCCCCATTTAGTTGCTGCCACATCCTGTAGTCTGCATTATTTAAGAGTAATGAGTTATATTTTGTGCCAAGAGACGCATGCTGAGCTCAGCCTCTCTCTTCTTTATTGCAGGGATTTATCGGCAGCTCACAAAATGGAATGAGTTCCTTAGAGAAACGTGTAAATGGTTTGGAGAGATTACTTGATGAAATGCAGCATGATTTGGGAGTAACAACAGGGAGGATTTTAAATACCGATTTTACAGGAAGTACATGTTTCATGCTCCCTCGTGCAGAATTTTTGAGTCCTAAATTTTGGAGAAGTTCAGAAGGGCAAAACTCAAATTCAATGATATCTTTCTCCACTGGAAGCCAGACTACCACCATGTATAGTCAGCCAGAAACAGATGCTACCACCAAGATGTTGAACCAGGAAAATTTGATGGGCCAAAAGCAGAATAAGAATTTATCTTCAATTAACTATATGGGTGTCATTCAAAACGAACGTAACTTATCATTACATTCTTCCTCCGGTAGAAGAAAAGAGAGAATAGCTCGAGATGGTGAAACTGCAGGTTTTTGTCATGCTGGTAGGCTTGACAGGACTTCATTTGCAAATTGCATACAGCAGCAAACTTGAGCACTAGGTGATTGTTTTTCTTTAGCTCGAAATGATGTTATCTTAATTTCTGCCATCCATATCTTTGTCGAGCTTCTTTTCTGCTGTTGCCTTCATATTCTACTGGATTTTCTCCTTATCAGGATACCAACTGTTTGATTATTGAAGACATACTTGCCTGTTGTCTCTAATCATCCCAACAATTAGAAGCTTCCTTGAGCACAGCTGACTCGGTTTTGTTTGCCAAGTGTATAATAACTCTTCACTATGTTATTTTCCAACTCTTCACAATGTAATTTGACGGCCTTTAATAGTTTCCTCCTTGGTTCTAAGAAAATTTTGTTTATGTTTGTCAATTTTGTCCGCATTGAGTCCATAATGAATTGAATAGCTTTTCCTGTTAATCATCGAAAGGTTTATAAAGTTAAAACAATTTGTCAATCATATGTTGGTCTTCTATGTGCGATGGATATATGAAGCATCACTACTCGCAGATGAAAATGCTTGAGGTATAAGCTAATGATAATTCGTTCTCTCTTAGCAGGTCGTGCAGACATAAAAAGTTTGAGTCTCAATGCTGAACTATTTGGGCAGAGAATCTTTATCCCACCTGAATCCGGGTGAATGGGGCTAGAAGGAACCATTTACTTGGAAGAATCAAAGCTAATTGCTGTGAAGAAGCCCAACGGATCAGAAACCAATACAAATATTCAATATTTCTTACCTGGTCATTTGAGATATATTTAAGGGCTAGTGAGTTCCATTGTCAGCAAGAAAAGGGGGGATATCTGTACAGAAGCTCTGAATGTTAAGCTTATCAAGTTTAATCAATGCTGTTTATTCTGATTTATTCTGTTCTGAGGAATAGCTAGCTGCATAAAGTTTCTTCCAAAGGTACGTGCAAACGTTAGTCGTAAAGTCATAAGTAGCGGTGGCAAAATGGTTAAAAGAAAACAGTTGACCACTCATATTATCTACTAAAAAAAGGGTTGGATAATGAACTTTTTAAAAATGGGTCAAATATAGATAAGAACCATATTATCCATTTAGAAAATGGATAACCAATGAGTTTAACTTTTACATTTGTAAAGCCTCAAATTGGGAGTTCCTCAAGTTTGGGAGACTAGGAGTTCTCCCTAAAGTGATCATATTCAAAAAGACATAGATAATATGGTTACCCTTATTATCTGTCGGGTAACCCGTTTTTTATCCGTATTAAATATGGGTTGGATCGGATAATTGATCCGTTTTTTCATCACCCGTTTGACCCGAATCATATCCGACCCGACCCGTTTGACGCTCCTAGTCATAAGCAACTTCTTGGAAATGATATATTTGTGGCCAGTTGCCCAATTGATATCGACTACTGGCCGGGAAAAGCAATATTCTGGTCGAAAAGGAACTCTTGATGAGTCAAACGAAGACCTGCTTTGTTCCTTGGTTGTTGACGAAGTATACCTACGCGTCTTGATTCAAGTAACTAACTTACTCACACGATGTGGTAACTGGTAAAGTCCTTACTAATTCGAACATGTTGACAATGGAGAATGTGAAAGCATGGGAAGGGGAGAGGAACACGCACCGTGTGAATGTTACGATATTACTTGTAAAAGTAGAAAGAACTTATCTATAAGTACTTACATTAAATCAATGAACGTTACATACAATATACCACGTGATCACGGTAAATTTAAATGTATTCTTACCTCAAGTTATATTTAACCACGGCAAAATCCTTTGATTTGGTGCAAACACCAAGTGAGTAAAATGTTTCCTTTAAAAGCGTTTTAGTGCTTTAACTAGGATTGAGATTGGAAAATTAACCGATAGAACATTGTCCCTTTCTCCTTCTTTACTGTGACCTTTTTCTCCATTATCTCCCGACTCTTTCTTTCTGCGAATCTCACCAATTCTCAAATAAAAGATGAATTTTTTTAAGTAAAATAAAATTGAATTATTTCTTTTAATTATCTTATACTAAATAATTAAAATCATTTCTACTTCATTCATAATATGACACTTAATTTTTTATTTTTTTCAAAGATTGGCCAAAAGCGAAATGTTTTTCTAATACTAACAAAAGAGAGTCTCAAATGATTGAACAAACACAATGTGCTACATCTCTAAAGTTCTTTTCGGAAAAATTCTTTGACAACAAATACCTTTAGAAATAAGAAGATTTTAGAAATTTTCCAAACAAGATCGAACTTACCCTCCATCTCCTAACTTTCGAAATAAAATTAGCCTCGAAATAGGGGGAAGTGTAAAAATAGCCATTTTAGGATCTCTATTTAAAAAATAACCGAATTTACAAAGTTTTTAAAGTTTAGCCGCCTCAGAATCAACTTCAATTCGTTGGATCTTAAGTTAAAATCGCAGGTCTAAGATTGACCCAATGGTCTAAAATTTGCAAAAACTGGCTAATCTTCAAATAGTTTAAAAAAAATTAATAATTTTTAAATAGAGGCGCTCAAAGCGACAACCTGATGTTGTTTCACCCTCGAAATATACAACAATATGTAGTGAGTGGTCCAGTCCAGTCTCATGTAATTGAAATTATGGCTCAACTTAGGTCAAAGATTGGAACCAATAGTATGATTATGATGCATTCAACCTCTTGGATTAATGGACTTGAGGGCTTATAAAGCAGGCCACAAGTTTTGCTTTTCGAGTGTCTACATTTTGTAAATTCCTTTTTAAGTGGAGCAGATATGATGATGAATGCTAAGCATACGTATAAAGTAAGGCATTCCTATACTAGGAGGCTAATAAATTTATGATGGGCAACTATTCAAGGTTCGTAATCAATGCTTTATTTTGTAAAGTTAGGAGGCTTTCAAATTTCGCAAGTTTTTGGCCTTTGTAACCTCTAAATTCTTACACTTGGAAAGTTGGAATACCCAACATTCATTCCATTGCATTTGTACTAGACTAAGTGGGCGTTGGGACATAAGAATAGTAAAATTTCAGAAAAAAAAATTCAAGTGAAAATAGTATTTACAAATTAGAGTTGTGTTTGGACATAAATATAATTTGGGACTGTTTTGGGTGTTTTGTGAGTGATATGAAGTGAAAATTTTGGAAAAAAAGCTTTTTGAAGTTTTTGAAATTGTTGAAAAATTTCAAAAATTATTTCATGTGAAAATTAAAATTTTTATGGCGAAACACTTATATTAAAAAAACAAATTATGGCCAAACGGGCCCTAAGAAAATTCTGTGATAAAAGATGGCGATATATGATCTACTTTTGTCATTTGGTCAATTAGTGATCATTTTTGTTAATGACAAATTTATTAAGAAATCTTGCATTAAGAGTTGTCTTGAGTAATAGTTTCTTTTTTGGCAATTGTCACGACCCACTATTCAACCTGTCGTGATGACACATAACTCACCCCGCTTGGTAAGAAAAACAACAATAAAACATAATACAATGATAATGATAAGAGTAAAAATGAAATAATCGAATTTTTATACAACTCCCCAAGGATTGGTAGTACAAGTCGTGAGCCACTGAAACTTAAATTTACAAAACTAAAATGAAATAAATACAACATATGTTTGAAATGTACATGAAGCTACCAAGCACAAGTGATAGTCATAACTGGAACGTAGATACATCTTCAATGCCAGCCCTCGCCATACACAACAACATCAACACCAAGATTTTCACACAAGGTGCAAAAGTGTAGTATGAGTACAAGCGATCCTGCGTACTCAATAAGTATCCTAACTAATCTCGGCGAGTTACAAGAAGCAAGAACTATAAATAATACTCACCAATGCCTGTACAGTTCATAATTTCAGCAAGTATAGAAAAAATATCTGATCAAATCAGGAAAATCTCAGGTATAACCGCCTTGGTGCTTAAAATTCTTTGTTTTAAAGTATTTTACTCAGCCAACAATCCAGCATATAAAGAAGATATGCAAGTACAACATGCAACAATCAAGGAAATTGCAAATAAGGATAAAACGCAATAACCAAATAACACTTCGTTGCGGCGCGCAACCTGATCCAATAAAAGTAACTAGCTCTCCTAGTGCTCACATCATCTAAAAACCCGTCGGTTTCTCACAATCTGCGTGTACACCATCACGAGAGAAATATGGTAGGGTGACCCTAGGGGAATGAAACCTAATCCACACGCAAGCACAGCTAATTCAGCGTGCTACCTGCCCGGTGTGGTCACATGCTCAATATCATAATCCGCCCAGTATGGTCACAGGCTCAATATGATGGATCCGCCCGTCGTGGTCACGAGCTATATTATAATTTGACTAGCGTGGTCACATTCATATCAACACAATCCACTCTGCGTGGTCACAGACATAATAACACAATCCGCCCAGCATGGTCACAGGCATAACAACACAATCCGCTTGGCATGGTCACAACCATCCAGTTCAAATTATATCACACAGAAGCAAGTATACAAGACCACATGTATATGATGAGTAATAATCATATTTCATGCTTCTGGACTGATATAATTACTGCTAAAATGTAGGCATGTGCAAAGTGTGTTATCATAGCTCAAAGCGGTAATTTTATCACAAAAATAATAATTACCTTGTTTATTTAGGGAATTAGACTTTTCATAATCTCAAACATGGATAAATAATAATTAGGCATATCATAGCCTAAGCACTATCCCGAGTATGGATAAATACCCCGGTGCTCGCACATGGGCTCAACCCCACACATATGTGCACCCATAACGCGTAGTTATCACAAATAATTCAGGCAACTAGTGCCTCAAACAAGTTTAGATAATATACTTACCTCAAACAAGTCATGACAAATACCGAGCAAGCCAAACGACACTCTAGAAATATCATCCCGCACGTATCAAGCTCTGAATGGCTCGAAACTAGGCAAAAGCAACTCAAAAACATCAAATAATACCTAAGGAAACAATCCCATCGAATTTTTGCTCGTTTACTCAACCAAAAAATCAAACTGGACTCGCACATCGGAACCCGATAAAACTCATAAAATCCGGCAACCCATTCAATTACGATTCTAACCATACTAATTTCACTCAAATTCGAATCCGAATTGTTCAAACTCAAAAATTTACTTTAGGAAAGTTTAGATAAAAATCCACAATTTCTCTTTAAAATTTATAATCTAAATTCCAAAATCGAAGATAGATTCATGTAATATAACTAAAACTGGGTAGAAAACACTTACAACCAATTCATGTGGTGAAAATCGCCTCCAAAATTACCCAAATCTGAGCTCCATAGCTCAAAATATGATAAAATGACCAAGACCTTCGAAATAGAGTACTTTAAACATTGCTCTAGAGGCACCCTTCGCGATCGCGACTTAAAAATTTTATGGCACATATTTCACCCTTCGCGATCACGGCCATTTCCCCCGTGATCGCGATGAACAAATTTCCATTACCCTTTGATAAGTGGGGATTCTAACCACTTATTGGTATCTTCTTGCTTTAGTTTTAGTTCGAAAGTGTTGATTTCTGTTGCCAAAACTAATAAAATTGTGCAAATAGCAAGAATATTGGAGAATCGGATTTTATTGAAGAAATCTAACTCAAAAAGGAGGTTTCCGGCACATAAGGCAAGAGAGAGCGCAACATGCCAAAAGTGCAGTCCTTAGAATTCTCTATGCGGCCGCAGATCTGGTATTGATGCTCAGATGATAATTGAATCAAAGTGTGGACCTCACACAATTTGTGCGGCAGCAAAACATGGTCGCACTAATATGAATTCAAAAAGTTCATAGAGTTTGCAAAAGACCAAGTATGAAGCCTTGACAAGAGTGCATCCGCAGAAGGAAAAGCGCGGCCGCAGAAGGAAAAGTGCATCTGCAAACCAGAGCGGC